TTTATTGCCTGCCTCAATGCCAGTCACTTCCCAGAGAAAGGCAGGCCCTTTGCAATGTCTTGAGGGCCTGCGTAGGATCTCTTTCACCCGCGCGAGCAGGTGAAAGACATCCTTGGGGACTCAATTTGCCCTGCGGGACCAGAATCTTAGCCTAGGGTTTTCTTCCGATGTGATTTGATATGCATGAAATTTTGGAGGACCCTTGTGAGTCTATGCAGAATTGAAACATGGCTCGGACGTTTTGATGTGTCAGGCAGGGTTGTCTGGCAAGGCATGGATTTTTCAAACAAAGGCCACAGCGTAGGAAGGAAGGGCTGCAGTGGGACATCACGTTGAGGATGCTCCGTGCGAGGGGATCTAGAGGCAATGCACTTAAAGAGCCCTCAACTCCTGTCTTTTGCTGGATGCGTTACGATGGCTTTAAAACCAAATGACAGGGAGGCAGGCCATTTTGCTCTGGCCCCAGAGGCAAATGAGCCACAATCAAAACTCTGGTAGATGAAGGTTAGTACGGGATACTCCCCTTGCCATAAATAGCTGCGGATGTCCGCCTTCTTAGTTCTTGAAGCATGGTTCTGGGATTACAACCATCTTAATACCGGGTTTTGAGTATGATATTACCCTTAGCTTTTTCGCCTTTAGTGTTTAAAGTGGTAGTTTCCATTTAACCCACTAAAAGTTAGCCACTTTTAGCGGGGGATCTGAAAACGGGCAGCCCAGAAATGTCTTAGGGGATCACACGCCAGGATCTGGCCAGCCGGGGCGCTCGACTGTGGGTCAGTGAGAGGTGAGGTTTGGGCGGAAAGGTCCAGTTGTCCAAGTTGGAGGTCACGAACTTCCCGGATTTTTTTGTGACTCGAATCCGAAAATCCGATGTGCTTTTGGGGAACAGGCCTCAAAGCCAAGGAGAAGAAGGCTATTCTTGGAGATACATCACCCTTCGTAGGCCTCGTGCTGGCTTTCAAGAATGTGGGGGGGGTGTATGCACTATCCACGAGGTTTTAGAAGCGTATTTGAAAGGGAACTAATTTGAGGCTAGATAGTCAGAGGGGAACCCCTAGTTTTGACAGTGGGAACCCAGGATCTATTGATCCGGGTTGATTCATCCAGTCGGCGGTTGGTTTTGATTGACTCGCATGAATGGTTGCCAGGATCGAGGGATCTAGTGACTTCAATGCTGAGAGCCAGCGTCACGAGAGTAAGTGTCGAATCACAGAAACAAGAGGTTTGGTAGAACATCCAAGGGCCGTATCCCAGTATCTTTATGCCCCAAACATCCGAGGACATCTTTTTCCAAACATTGCATCTAGAAACTCGAGGGAAAGCCTGTTGGCCCGCAAAGTCACCACCCTATGAGTGATGTGTTGCTCAGCACTAAGAAACACGCGGCCGACTCTGAGCCTTCCGCCGCTCATCTTGGCTCGACTTTCGTTAGTTTTGGCCCTGGCTCATCCAGGATCAAATTTGAGGCTGGAGTGCTCCATGTGTTTCGTGTGGCTCAAAAAGAAACAGCTGTGTTGTGCAGGTGTTGGTCTTTGTTTCCATATAACAAGTTGCCATTTTGGGTACGTGTGTTTCGGAGATTCATGTGACATGTGACCAGAGATTCATGCGTTTCGTGAGGCTCAAAATGAAGCAGCTGGGGTCTACACAACTTTTGGTCTACCTTTCTATTTACCAGGGCTCCATTTTGGACCCCCGTTTTTGAGCCACAGCCTTGCGGCCCCACATACCCCACCTACCCCACATACCATGCCCCAGCTTGTGGAATGTATGTTCAGTTGGGTGTGCAAGGGCGTGTGCACTTCGTGTGCCTGGGCTCGAGCGAACCTTTGCCACGCAGGAGGCATGGCCTTCCCACCGCAGACCTTGCCAGGGACTTTTCCGCCGGCCACGCTGCCTCCCACAGGCGAGCGCCTGCGGGGAATTGGAAGTCATGGCCATGGAGCAGGGCTCCTTAAAAGATTGAAACATAGCTTTTTCCACCAAAATACAGGGAAGCCACCATTTACAAGGCAATGTTCAGATGTGTAATGCAAGGATCCCTGTGGAGCTTGGACAAAGTCCACCTCGCACCTCGCGATTTGCTCAAGTTGACTTCCTGGATCGCCCTGTTGCACATTTTTTTCATGCACTTCACCCCAAACACCAGCAACGGAGACTGAAAAAAGCGATTGCAATTTGGCTATTTAGGTTGGTGTTTTTGTCCTCTGGAAAATGAGCCCACCATTGGCCATCCAAAGGATCAATGCCTTCTTGGCGTGGGACAGGGTTTTATGGTTTTGGATGCATAGGTTTTTCGTCGAGCCTTGGCAGGCCTGCCGCAGATGAATCCGCAACTGCTGCAGCAGCAGTGCCTTGTTGGCACGCTTCGGTTTTGACAACTGGGCCCTGTGGAGGGTTTGCACCCCCAACCTTTCCATTGGCCATGCTAGTAGCTGTATGTCTCTCACCAAATGCCGTGAGAGACACGGTTTCACCCAGGAAGAACATGGATCGGCGTCGGGGTCACTCTTCGGGGGGGCTTCGATCTCGCTTGCGAATGTCTGGAGTGGGTGGTCCTAGTACCTGGTCCTGTGGTTGTCTCAGAGGCCAATCTTCCTTCATAAGCGTCTTGCTGGGACCAACAGTCAATGGGCTTCGGGCACGTCTCAACGGAAGAGGACACCAATAGCGGGGTGTCCTTCTTCGGGGTTATCTCGAAGGGAAAGCAAAAATACAACCACTTTGTTTTTGGTGGGGGGGTCTTTTGAGACAAAGCAATATGAATCGCACCATTTGGAAGCGGGTGCCTTGTTTGGGAGACATTTGCACTTGAGCACCCAGATTATCTAAGGGCTGCCGCCCTGTGCCGCCGCCCCCGGCTTGCTTTTAACAATTATGAAAACGCTTTTTTGTCGGGTTTAACGGCATACTTAAAGCATATATGATAAAGAAGAGCACCACGATAATGATCATGTTTTTGATGATGCAAATAATTACCCAAGATTAGGGATGCTGTTGTTTATTACTATGCATTCGCATTATCGCCAGCAGTCATGAAGATAACTGTTACCCTGCATTTGTTGCATCACCAGCAGTTGTTATGATAATTATGACGACGCATACCCTGCATCTCAAACAAGCTACTGCAGGATTAATTCGCATGATAATGAGCACCTTGTTGGATTTTACAAGAAGTGCCCCCGGTGTGTGGAAACTTGGGCAGGACAAAAACCATGTTGGGGGCACCTTTTTTTGTTCGCAAGACTTCGTTGTATTGCTGTGGATGCAAAGCGTGGACTTTGTGTCATCGCTTCGTCTTCGCAAGAAGTAAGCTGTTAGCACGGATGCAATCAGATGGTGATGATGATGATGATGATGATGATGATGATGATGATGATGCACACCCGTCATGACTACACATCCCCTGCATTTCCAGTCGGGTTATGATGATGATGATGATGATGATGATGATGATGATCATCTGATGATCCTGATGATACGCATTGAAAAAGAAGATTATCATCACTATGCGCCCGCAGCATCGCCAGCAGTCATGATGATATTCGTCACCTTGCATCCCCTGAATGTCAAGTCGGGTCACGAGAATGATGATGATCCTGAATCACCACTCAACATCAGTGATGCTGCTAATCAACTATGCATCCGCAGCATCGCCAGCAGTCATGAATCGCAGGTTTGTTTAGGGCCCTTTCCAAAGCACTGAGGCTTGCAAAGTATGTTCTGGGCTGAAATTATGCCTTGAGGTCTCACTGAGGAACTAGCTGAGCGGTGGGTAAACAAAGGACACGCTGCATTCCTGATTCGAAACTCCAGCTGCAATTTGTTGCATCCTAGTCATTGACTTGGGGCATGTGGACTCAAGGCAATTGTGAACCTGTCATTTTTCGATGCTACTCCTCCCAAATCATGACCGTGACCCCTGACGTGTGGGTGGAAACACATTTGCACCAGTAGATGGCTTACACAGGATTTCGTCCATGGCAGCTTTTTGTCCATCGAGCAGTGAGGCAATACCTGCAGTATGTGATGATGCTGCAGGCGCAAGGCCAGGCTGCTGCCACCGCTGCGACCACTGCCACGGGCGCGGCTCCCGCACCAGCGCCCGACTCCTCGCAGATGCTGCAGCAGTGGCTCGCCAGGGCTCAGAGTGGCCGGCGTGGTGGTGGCGGCGTCGGCGGCGGCGGCGGCCGCGGTGGTGGTGGTTCTGGTTGCGGTTGTGGTTGCGGTTGCGGTTGTGTTTGCCTTTGTGGTTGTGGTCGTGGTGGCGGTTGTGGTTGTGTTTGCCGTTGTGGTTGTGGTCGTGGTGGCGGTTGTGGTTGTTGTTGGCTTTGTTGGTTGGTTGGGGGTGGGTGGTCATTTTTACGGTTATTGATGTTATTGCTACGGTTGCCCTTGCAATTCTGACTGAAGAGCTGTTTCATCGCATGGCGTATCCAGCTGAGCCTGCAGGGGAACAACACCGGCCAGTGTTGAGCAGGGAAGCGAGAGATTCGGAGTGGGGACAGTAATTTGTTGTCCCTGGCTTGCCAGTCATGGAGTTTGATGCAGTTTGCACCGTTAGAGGGTCAACTAGGGTTTGATTTTGATGTGCCTGTGCGTGTGAGTCCTTTTGTGTTTACTCGCGGGAAGACTGGCCAGGTTCGTGGATTATGTGTGTCTGTGTGTGTTCCAGAGTCTATGGACGGCATTTTTGCAGAAAAAGGACCTATTGCGACACTTTATACGTTCGCTCACATCAGCGTTTGCTTGCACATGCATCTGATCATGTTAACTGCGGTTTGATTTTCAGGCTCGTACTGCAAATTCGGATTTGGACTGATAATATTGCTGCGGGCGCAATTCCCTTTTTTTCGTGGCTGCAACAACGTACTATGTGGCAAGCTTGCCTGTATTCGGCTGTCATTCATGTAATGCGTGCTTGACATGTAAAGGCTCTTTACCTCTTGCCAAGAGCAAGGCGGCATGCGCAACTCAGAAAGAAAATGAGCCTTCTTGAAGGAGCTTCTCTCCAGAATTGCTTGCGCATTGATTGGGTACCCTCCCCCAGACTAGCATGGAAGCTCCCAGGACCTTTTTGGAAGACTTAGTTCTGTGAAGCCAATTGGGGGAACCTTGCTTTGCCTAAGAATTTCTTGGACCGCTGAGCGCCACCGGCACCTCAGGCAGATCATGCAGCAGATGCAGCACCAGATGGCGCCTGAACCCGAGGAGATCAAGGAGGTGAACGGGGACAAGGGCAAGGCCAAGGCCGGGAACGTCAAGGTCGGGAACATCCTTGTTTTCAGTTCAGCAAATCCTTATTTGGGTGTGGCTCAAAATTGAATAGGGGTTACGCAGGTTTTGGTCCTGTTTCAAAGGGTTACAGGAAGTTCTACAGGAAGCCAGCTTATTTGCGGTGCTTTGGGGCCACTTCCTGTAGATTTTCCGGTAACCAAACCCTTTGATTGTTTTCAGCAAATCCTTATTTGCGGAGGTCTAGAGGACTGCTTGGATCTGTGGTCCTTCCCCAAATCACCCGGCTCCCCCTGGCCTTCCTGTGGGTTTTTGCTGCTCCCGCTGTTTTTCCCAAGTACTTCTGTGGCCCCAATCTTCCAGTAGGTTTTCCCAGTACTGCAGTCTTTCCCGAATACACCGACGGACGGTCCTTCCCAAAGTTCGTTCCAATCTCAACATGTATGTACGATGACAACACTCATGGGGACAAGGCTAATCACGATGACAACAACAATAATATATTAGCAGTCCATGTCTTTATTGCTAACAATACACATAATAAAAGCAATCATGGCACTAATACTCCGAATAATGATGGTAATGACGATACTGCTAAGAATGATAATGGTGGTTATGATAAGAAAGGTAATAATGCTAGTAAAAATAGTGCCAAGAACATCAGTACTGGTACAAGTGCTAGTATTATTATTACTATTACTATTGCTACTACTACTACTACTACTACTACTACTACTACTACTACGACTACGACTGCGACTGCGACTGCGACTACGACTACGACTACGACTACGACTACGACTACGACTACGACAACAACTACTGCTGTATTAGTGCCACTAGTATCACTACTCCTACTCCTACTCCTACTGCAATCGCTACTGCAATCGCTACTGCAATCGCTACTGCTACTGCTCCTGCTGCTGCTTCTGCTTCTGCTGCTGTTGCTGCTTCTGCTACTGCTACTGCTGTAGCAGCAGCTGCTGCATATTCATGCTATGTGTAAGGAGCAACATGATACTACTGATTGTGTCTAGAGATCTTCTGATGTACCTGCCAGTGCAGGGGCATTGTTTCGATCGAGTGCTTGCTGCAGTCTTTCTACATCCGTCCTTGCTCAAGGACGGGGAAGGTTAGCCACCGAGCAAAAGCGCAGATCGCTGTTTGGGTGCTTCTCAAAGTACACTTGGTTAAACATACGCCGACAGCTCCCCCTTTTTTTTGCCACCCGCCGAAAGGGGATTTTGTTTCCATCTGCTTTCGGCCTGTAGGGAACTTTGCAGAGCATTTTTTGAGATGAACCTGTAGGGTTGCAACTTTGGTTGTTGCAACCTTGGAGACCTCAAGCCTTTGCAACAAGATGCACCTTGGGGTTGTTGCAACAGGAGCCCCAAGGGCCACGAATTCAGCTCGCGGGCCAGGCGAAGGCCAGGGGGAAGAAGATCAGCTCCAGCGGGTGCCGGGCTCGGTTGGCGGCTGGCGCAATGGGTCGGCGGTGTGCGACTTCTTTTGGTCGTAGGGATTCCTTTTGGGGTAAATTCCAGGGTTGTGGGATCACTCGGGGCTTTTCTCCACTTCTGTGATGCAAGGGAATCTCCCCCTTTATATGGGGGGTTTTGGGAAGCCTTTTTAGTTGTATCACAGAAGTGGTCATTTCCCACAGCCCTGTCCCATTCCATTCTCAACCCAGCGATCCGAATCTTTCTAGAAAGCCACCCAAAAACCTTGGGGAAATAGATCCGGTTTTTGAAAAGAACGATGGCTGAAAAAATGGTTGGAACCAGAATCAACCCCTAGAAGGATGCACGCCAATCGCCTGGGTACCCTTCCTCTCACTAACATGGCACCTGAGGGAAGGGTACCTGTAAGATCAGTTTCCTCCCGGAGGGACCCTCTGGCAGGTGCCGTGGTGGGATAGAGAGTAGGTCGGTCGATGTATTTTGCAACTTCAAGTTGGTTCAATCTTGCCCCGAGTCGTTTGTGTTGCCTTTCTCGGAAGGTTGCCCGGCAAAGCTTTTGCCCCCTGCACATCTTGGCATTGGTCACTTGCCCAAGTCTCATTGAGAATCCTTAGGGTCGCAGTTGCTCGCTTAGGGCGAAAGATGAACAGACGTGGCGGGAGAAGATGCAACTTCCCTTGAGTTCACAGAGACAAATGTTCTAATAGCCGCGAAGTTTCAAGGCGAGGGCGAATCTTCCCTAGCCACTCCCAACGTCTGTTTTTTCCGCATTTGCAACAGGCTACATACTTTCCTGCAACTTGACCTGGAACCACAAAGCGGTCCACGAAGCAGTAGATTCCTCTCGCAAAGGATCGTTCGTGTTGCTTCCATGTGAATCTCCGACTTGGCGGGCAAACTCAAACATATTTTTCAGGGCGTACCCTGTAACAACAAAAAAAGCCACGGCCAAGAAAGAAGGCCCCTGAAACTGGGGGGATTTAACAAACAAAGAATGGGGCGGTACCCTTTAACCAAAAAAAACAAAACAAGTCACGGCCAAGAACGCAGACCAACAGAAACATGACCAAAAAATGCACGGCCAAAAAAGACTCGCCAAAAGAAGGACGACGCCCCGCTTCAGCGGGGCCCCATCCAAATTTTTCTGTGGACGGCGGCGGAGGTCCCGGAGCCCCAGCCGGAAGAAGAAGAGCCCCAGCCGACGGAGGCGCGAGCGGGAAGAGGTGGGGTTTCTCAAAGGAGCCTAAGAAACGGGGGTTGATCCCTGTCTGTTTTGTTTTCAAAAGGAAAACACCCACCACCAGTTTTGGGGTTCTTTTCTGAGACTTGGGGGTTGATGAATATTCCACTTGGGGCCCCCAGTTCTGACCATGGGTTATATTTCTCATGTGGTTGAAATATCAAATCTTTGTGATTTTGCAACCAATGGTCATCCTATGTAAAGGACCTTTTGATCAACCCCGAATGGTTTGCCCTTCGCTACCCTTAACCCCAAGAGTAGCCATACCCTTTTGTAGGGAGTGTATGCAAGGGGCCTGAAGAGGCGATCCTTGACAGCCTCGAGGCCCTAGTATTAGCTACACTCATGCCGTCTGGTGTCTATTTACACGTCGATTTTAGAAGCGCGAATGTGGTAGCAAGGCATGTCGTTTTGCGTAGTCGACAACATTAGTCTGTACAGATAAGCCTTTTAGTTGCCCCGAAAGCTGGAAAGGGTCTGCTTCGAGTTGTTCGTTGCTCAAGTTCCATCTACGTCTCCTGACACGCTTTGCTGCAGCCAAGAAGGATGCAAAGCGGGGCCTCCAAGTGTCATTGCAGTGTTGTGTGAGTGGGCCGGCCAGACATGCTACCACCGCAATGGCGGCGATTCTTGTCAAGGCCCCAAGATCTGAGAAAAGATCGATGGCTACTTTGGGCAGAGCTTCACGCACGATTTTCGCGTCCAGGAAGCGCAGCTCCAGTTCCAGCAAAAGGCCTGCGGTCTACAGGGAATCTCCGGGCTTTTCGGGAAGGGCTGGGGTTGTGCTGCAAGGGCCAGCCGATCGGTACGGAACTCGGCACGAGAGAGAAGCTGAGAAGTGTCGGGCCCGGTGCGGTTCGTCCCACCTGTGCGACCAACGTGTCAGCGCTGGCTTGGGCCCGGATGAATGGGTTGCCAGTACATAGGTAAGCTGTGCTTGCACGCCACTTGGGTTGCAGATTGGCAACATCCTTGAGGATGCTGGTAGCGTGATCCATATGGAGTCCGGTGAGTTTTTTGCAGGCGCGCCAGCTGACCGCGCTTCTCCTTTCCGTTTGTTTTGTTTTGCAGGTCAGCCTTGGTTCGTGCCTTGGGGCGTGGTTTGGGTGTGAATTTATTGGTTGAGGCGCACATCTTCAAGCGGACCCCAATCACCACCGGGCGACGAGCGTCACCACCCCATGCCCTTGCAACGCCTCGTGCGGATGTTGGGGAACAACTCCTCCGCCTGGAAAGGTACTCCTGAAGTCTTTGTGCCTGCAAGCGACTGTTCAGACATCCACATTCCAAAATTTATTCCCCCTCCTGCTGTGGGTTTTTGGCCTGGCAAAGTTAATCGCTTTTTTTCTTTTCCAACAACGTGTAGTGCTTTGGATTGCTCGTACCTATCAGCATATGTCTCGTGAGACCTCCGCTGTCATGGACTCCATTGGGATGTTTCGGTATTGTTTTTTGCTTGTCAGAACCACCTCCAAGCTATTTATGCATCAATCTCTCGCTTGCCCTATCTAATCCATACACCACGGAGCAGGCACTCCCTCTCTCCTCCCTCCCTATCTCTCTCCCTCTCCCTCTCCCTCTGGCTCTCCGTGTCCCTCTGCTGTCCCTCGCCCTCTCTGCACTGCTATTGCCGCAGTAGCCGCAGCCGGAGCCGGAGCCGCCGCAGCCGACGCAGAGGTGCAGCGGTGCAGCGGTGCACGCGAAAGTGTCTTTTTCTGGCACCCTTCGGGAGAATGTGCCCCAGAATCATCCATGTCCGGGAATTACTGAGACAAACCATGTGAGCCAGGGGTATCGAGGGCAAGGGCACGTGGGCGCAGATTTCATGCTTCATTTGTGCAGCGCATGGCTGCTTGCTTTGGATTCTTTGGGTGCCATTTAGCAACTGTTGTGCGGTACAATGCGCTGTGGATTTTTGATTCCTTCGCCACGGTGTCAACTCACGTTGCCAATTGCTTGTCGCGATTATCATGAGCAACTACTTGTCTCATGAACTCATACCCCTTGGCGGTACGTGAGATTGATGGGGTCGTTTTATTTTATTTTTATTTTTTATTTTTAAATCCCCGACAACAATTATTTAGCTTCTCACTCGTCATTTGCCAGATTTATTCAGAATTGGTAGAGTATTGCTTTGTGCTGCGCCGTTTGGAATCTGTTTTATTCTTGGGCCAGCAACCTGTGGGATTTGTGCCAAAGGTAGGTTTCCAGATGGGGAACCTGTAGGGCAATTCTTGGCTGAGTGGCAGGTACATGGTAATTGTGTTTGGGGGATTAGAATGGGGTGTCAAATGGGCGCTAAAGATAAGCGTTTTCTTGGTAGGTGGCAAAACGTACTAGACAACATAAAAAAAGGGCACCCTTATTCTAGCCTCTCTACTTCCCCAGAATTACTTCCATTTTTCATTTTTTTGCTTTTTTGGGGTTCCCTTTGTTTTCCACTAACCAGGCAAACAACAAAACATTTTTTGCTGGGGTCCTAATTCCAGCCAAGGTTGGCGTTTCTTTCGCGTCCCGTGAGACCTGAGACGTGTTTGTTCGTGCCAGGCCGGCGCAGCCCCAGCCGGCGCCGCCGCAGCCCCAGCCGCCGCCGTCGCAGCCCCCCCCGCGGAGGCGGAGGCGGAGGCGGGGAGTTGGGACACGGCGTCGGAGGACCTGCGGAATGTTTTGGAGGGCCCCGACTTTGATGTGCAAAAGGGTGGGCTGTTTCTTGTTATGTTCCCTTTGACGGGTTTCCACAAAAATGTACCAAGAAAGAAGTGGGGGGCGGGGGGGTGGAGGGGAAGATGTCGCTTTAAGGCGCGGTGCACACTCTTCTTCTCGCGCTTTTGGCAGGCTATGGCGGTGGTGGTGGTGGCCCCCGCTTTGGCGGAGGAGGCGGAGGAGGCGGAGGCGGGAAAAGGTGGGGCGACGGGATTCCCTTTTGTGGCGCCGGGCCGCGAATCTGTCATTGACACCTGGCGAATCTGTCATGCAAAGGACTCGGCTCCATAGGAACCAAGGGGTTGATATGGGGTTGCAGAGAGGACGCTTGAGCGTGTTTTTTGGCCAGCGGTTGCGCTCGCAGAAGCCAACCACAATTCGGGAAGTGCTCAAGATTCAGGTTGCTCCAAAAAATACAAAAAAAAAAACAAAAACACAAGAAACAAACAGACAGACCAACAATCACACATATCGAAGGTTTCTCCTCCATGGGATAATGAACACCCATAGCCCTTTTTGGAAACCGTCCCATTTTGTGTGTTCAGCCTCCGCTGACCATGAATCTTCTGGCTCCAGGCGAGATGTGCGGGGACTTCAAGCGGGGCAGGTGTACTCGTGGCACCGCGTGCCGATTTTCCCACGGCGGCTCGGCGAAAAAATTGGGTGTGTCTCAAAATCGGCGACAATTTATTTTCGCCCCACGGACAACTGGTGCCCAGGCGTTCATCAATTCTAGTTCATCATGGATGCTTCGGCCAGAAAAAACCATAGGAAAAGCAGTGTTTTGTGGCATCACAATGAGTTCACCACGTTCTTGCCAGTACTTTTCCGGTAATTGTTTAGAAGCAATTACCGGTCAAGAAGTTGCTTTTTCTCTCGTTGTCTCCTGCCATACTTCAAGTGGATCGTCTGGACTCTTGAAATAAAATACATGGCCTGCGCGGTGTTTTGAACACTTTCAAGAAACGCCATCCTTAAGAAGCAGCATGTCGCTATGAAAGCGATGCTGAAAGCCCACACGCAGGCCAGCCCTTTTTCACGAAGCCAACTTCAACCAGGGCTGTCTGCAAAAATGGCGGCCGGAGCGGTATTTTCTGTATGTTGACAGGGCCTCGAGCGCTTTATGCACACCGGGGCTTCGGAGCATGTGAGCCGCAAACCAAGGTGTCCACGCTGACTCGATTTGTGCCTGAACGACCCCAAAAACGGACACACACACACACACACACACTAATCAGCTCGTGAGTGGGGTACCAAGACGAGGACGGCAGCTGCATGAGCACGAGCCACATGCACAAGAGCAGATCAGACGACCATGGCACGATCTTGCCATGATACTCCTGGTGCATGTCCCTAATATGAAAGTGCTTCAGTGGCTGAGCGATGAAGAAATGCAAACATGAGCCATGAGCATATTGTCAACCGTGTGTTTGCGGTCGGATGGCCAAGTTTCGAGCAGCGGGGTTTGTTGACATTGGCAAAATGATGGCGCTGTTTGGTTTGATGGAGACAACCTCGAAATTTGGTGGATCGATATGCGCAATATCGAAGGGCGTTGAAGCTTTCGGTGAGAACTGGGGGGAGTTTTTGTCGCGAGCGGTGTCGTCCACATGAAGAACATTTGCCTCTGTAAGACTGGTTAGTTTGCTTGGCATTAGTTCAATGTCATAGAGGTCCTGAAGGAAATTGAGGGGACTTGGAAGACAATCTGTCCTGATAATGGGAGGCATGGTAACCACGTCTCATGGCTACCGAGTAGGCTTCATGGAAACTGCCGAGGACACTCACAGCCGAGGGGGGTCGATGCCGAATGATTCTTGGGGGACCTCCATTGGCTGTTGCAAAACTAGGGACACCGGAACGCGGACGGTTTCAAAGGGAGGTGCACCGAAGCTTGGAACCAAAACTTGAGCTTTGGCTTGGCACAGACCCATTCAAGCTTGATGAAGCAGGCATAAATATAGTTCGGTACGGATGGTTGTGAAAGGTACCGGGTACCCGTCAGGAAGCCAAACGCAAACAGGAAGCGAACGCCGGAAAGCCAAATGCCCCCCCAACTCAGGGGATGATGGCCCCAGCCGCAGCGAGCCAGTGGGGACGTTCAAGGCGAGGGGCCGAATCGCAGGGGAGTGGCGCAGGCGCAAATGGAATGCCGAGGCAAAACTCTCCAAGTGGTGGGTGCCATGTTGGTTCTCTCTCTCAAACCGGTCGTGTGGAAACTGATTCTCATTGATTTTCACAGTTGGAAATCAGTCATGAAAGACACCATCTCGCCCTGGAGGGGTGCCAGTTTTTGGCACCTTCCCGTCCACTCAAGAACCTGTTCCTGCCGCGATGGGAAGAGCTCGACCTCAACATCCCAAGGCCCACACTGAGCTCGCCCTTTATCGACCCCCAAACAAAGAAGACAACCTGCTGCAATGGTGTTGGCGTGACAGGTGGTTTCCCTTGTGCGCCCTTCACACCGCGAGTCAGAGTGCGAATCGCGCGATTTTGCAATCGAGTTTTATGAGGTGAAACGATTCGAACTTTGCCTGTCGCGAAGCTCAAAGTCCTGATGCATTCTGCTGAACCATAGCACAGGCAGTGCAGGATGTAGCTGAGCTTCGGTCAACATGCCGTTGTCTCATGGTTAACTTGAGAAGGTCATGGAAGACTCGCTGAAATTCCCGAAGAACGCCGAGAGACTTTTTGGCTCCTTCTTCCATGTTGACAGTGGCTCAGGCGACTGACAATGCAAGCGACAATGCTGCTCCGCAGAGACTTCGGAATTCCCCCGTTTGCTTTTGCTCTAAGCTTACCCAATTCTCCATGCCCTTGTTCTTGTTTCTTGAGTTTCTTTGCGTCCTGATTTTCTGGTTTTCTTGCATTGATGTTGCTCCGCCCTTCTCTCTGCTCTTCCCTCTCTCTGCTCTGTTTGGCGTTTTCCTTCCGTTCTCCTTCCCCACAACCCACCCACGCCAACCCACCCCCAAAACCCTAAACCCTAAACCCTAAACCCGCGCCCCCAACCCCCCCCCAAACCCCCCCCAAACCCCCACCCCCCCCAAACCCAAACCCACCCTGAGAGGCGCCGAGCGGCCCGGCGCCCACGAGCCTCGCGGCGCTGAAGCCGCCGCCCTCCATGGCGCAGATCAACTCGGACCCCTCGGCGCACAACAGCCCCCCGGACCGAAGAAGCGGCCGCCCAACGGCCGGCCGCAGCCCTTCCTACAAGGAAAAAGCCGAACTCCAGTGGGAATTTGTCTGCAACAATTTGGGTGGGTGGTTTTTCTTGTCACTTCTTTTTTTCTTTAACATCAGGGCTTCCACAATGATGAGCCAAGCTCCAAACTGAGCCACACAACTCCCACCATGATGATGTCCAAAGCGCCCCTGCAAATCTCTGAAGGTGCGTGCCCCTTGGTTTTTCGGAGTTGGACAACCTGAGCCACAATCAAACCCGGGTAGATGAAGGTTAGCAAGGTACAATCTCAACCATAATTGGCTGCAGATCTCCGCATTCTTAATTCTTTAAAGGGTTCCGGGTCGACCATTTTAGTACCGGGTTTTGATTATGACTCAACTCGGATTTGGGTGGCTCGAAGCACTTTTTTGAGGTCGTTTTGGGGCTGGCCTTTGTTTTTGTTGGAAACCACAAGGACAACTGTGTACTTTGCTGCCCTTGGGGCCTGACACACTCACCCCCCCCAAGCAAAAGTATAAACAAAAAAGAGAAAACAGAAAGAAGAAAGCGCCGCGCACTTAGTTGCACTGAGCGAGTCTGCAAGCAAAAGCCTGACAAAATCCCAACATCCAAACTCAAATGGGTGGCACGCTCGTTTTTTTTTCTCCTTCCTTTTTTTTTCTTTTTCGGGTGGGTGGTTGTCCTAAAGGGATGAGCAGGGTCTCTTTTTTTTTTTCCTGGGTGGGTAGCCTTTTGTGGGGTTGGTTTAACAGGAAAGCAAAAGGAGCACGGAGGCCATTTTGAGGGGTGGCTCGTCTTTTCGGATTCGGAGCCAACATAGCGCAAGGTTGTTTCTGTCGGTTTTCCCGTGAACCCACCAATTGCTTGGGTACCAACTCCAAAAAGAGCACCCAAGTCCACACGGAGAGATGTGGGATGATCCACTCAGAGGTGCCTTTGGTCCACACCCTTTGGCCCACCCCTTCCGAAATGGCGTGTTTCCGCCATTTTGGAGGGCGGGCCCGTTTTTTCCGCTTCCTGGCCCAAAGACTTCTTGGGGCAGTTCTTCTCTACGACTGGAGGTCTGATGGGTCGATTGGGTGGATGGAAGCTGTGCGTGAAAGAAGAGCCAAACGATGTGTTGGGGGGTATAACGCTTCTCTACAATTGAGTGTTCAGGTTTCAGACTGGTGCTTTTTTGGGTGTACTGCGTGCTGTGGATGTAGGTTCAATGTGGTTTGAAACCTAGTGAAACTTCAAGAGGTGCGGCAGTTGTGGTTCATGCCATCCCAAGAAGGGCCTTCCAAGTTCAGTGCCTTCAGTGGGTCTGTCACCTTTTTGGCCGACTGCGTGTGCTGAGGTGGGGCTACTGTCCAGGACCAAGAGATCAAGGTGATTGATGCAAGAGGACAGATGTGCCTCAGCGGACAAAGGTGAGACAGGAGCTTGATGTGAGCCACAATCAAAACCTGGGTAGATGAAGGTTAGTACGGGACAATCCCAACTATAAATAGCTGCGGCCGCCTTCTTAAGTCTTTACATGGTTCTAGGTCAACCATTTTAATACCGGGTTTTGATTGTGACTCATGTGTCTGTCTGTCTGTCTCTCTGTCTGTGCGTCCGTCCGTCCGCTTCCTGTCTGTCGCAGAAACAGCAACAGTACCGCAGGAGTGGCAACTCAGACACCGCGGCGTCCAAGTCCTTTTTGTGGGTTTGAGACAAACAAACGCCGAGATGAAGTTTCAAACTCGGACAGGTCAAAACCACCTTCTTTCCCATCTGCTTTCCCCTCGCTTTGATCAAAATTAGACAGGCCAAAACCACCTTTTATCTTTTTACCCCCTCGTTTTCTTCATCTGCTTTTCCCCCGTTTTGATAAACAAAAATGGACAGGTCAAGACCCACCTTTTTGTCCTTCTTCTCCCGTTGTTCCCATCCTCCGTTTTTTCTCCTTCCTCACTTTTTTACCTGTCAGTCCTTCCACTTTCTTTAACCCCCCCCCGTCTTTTTTTTCCCCAACAGCTGAAAGCTCTGGGGTCTCAGCCCAGATAGGCTCCGGGGCGGCCCTGAGGGAAGGTTCCACGAGGGTTCCATCAGGGTTCCACCAGGGTTCCACCAGGGTTCCATGAGGTTCTGCGAGGGCTGCGGGGTGGTGCGATCAGCAAAAAAGAGCACCGCCATGCTGTTGGGGATATCACGTGAGCTTATTTTCCTTTCTCCCTCCTTCGTCGCCTTCATCTCAGGATGTCCCAGTTCCCGCGCTACGCGACCTTCCAGGACGCGCCCTTCTGCGCGTCCATCCAGGCGGACCTGGCCAAGGCGGGTTTCCCCGCGCCCTCGCAGATCCAGCAGCGCCCTGGAGGTCAAAACGGGTCCGACGGGGCCCGGGGGTGCGGCCGACTGGCTGGCCATTTGGTGTCCGAACACTTTGCCACGTCGATTTCTTTTCACCATAGGGTGTGCTTTGTGGTGGTTTTGGGGGGATAATCGCATGGGTTTCGATTCCTGGTTTACCTGGTGGTGTCCTCATCCAGGGCCATCTATTTGCCCTAAAGGCACGCCTATGCGACCGGCGAGTTCCGGACGACCTCCGGAAGGTTCCTTTTGGTGTGATAGGAATAGGTTTTTGTCGCCTTGGGCTCACAAAACCCTAGTGTTCTGGGCGACCGGCGAAATGTGGTTTTCCTTTTCTCATGGAAAGACGTGTTTTTTGTTTGTTGTTGTTTATGTGGGTCTTTCTGAAAATTGAGGACCCCTCCGGGTAGCTGGTTTCCTTTCGGTTTCCCTTTGAAACCATTCAAGAAGGGGTCCCAACTAATTTGAGAGATTCCCATAAGAGTTGGAACCTCAGAACCTTTGGGTATGTAATGAATGTCAAGACGACCAGTGGAACTGAATCCCCACCTCCCGAGGCATGCGGAAGTGAATTGCAGGAATTGGAACCACAAAGCGGCGACCCGAAACATCCCCACCATGTCAACTCAGGGCACCCAACTCAGATTCAGACCCATCTTTTCGGTCGGATCGGTGAATTACTGTCATTTACTCGGTGAACATTGTCTTTAAAAGGGCCGCGATCGCTGCAGGTCGCCGGATTCTCCGTGCCTTCTCAGATTTCCATCTTTCAACAATCATGGAAGCTGACAGGAGGGGTTTGGAAGACTACAGTTCTCTTGAGAAGGCTGGCAGCTGTCCACTTCTATGGTATGTGTGTCGCTCAAAAGTAAGGACCCCAAACGGAGCTCTGCTTGTTAGAGACATTGGCTAAACTCTGCGGTGCGCTGGTCGCCCTGCTTCTTTACTTTTTGAGCCATAGCATGTTGAAGACTTCCCCAGAATTGCTCGCCCTTTTATTCTTTTTGGCCTTTTTTTTTCTTCTCGGTTACCTTGGTTTTCCACTAGGCAGAAAGATCATTTTTTGCTGGGGTCCTCAGTCCAAGAAGAGAGGAGCCTTCGCGCCAAGGTACGCGTGGCCCTTGGCAATGCAGGGCTACGATGTGATTGGAGTGGCTGCCACTGGTAGCGGCAAGACCGCTCGGGGAGAAGGGCTGACGGGCTGATCCACTTCAGGCGGATCCACTTTTTGGGGGCATACTTTAAGGGGAAATGGATTCAGATGGATTTCCCTGGTAGATGATCAAGCCACCAGGTTAGCCAGGGAAACCCATCTGTTTTTCAACCAACACAACCAAAAAAGGACACCTATGTGTGGGGGTCCAAAAGTGATTCAGATCCCAAGTTGACAATAGAGGTCCCCGCGCTTCAAGCAGAGAGGTTTTTGGGATGAGACTCCACCGACCGAGTCCAGGCAGAACCTTTTTCTGAGCGGTCAACATGTACCAGCTGTCGGAGGGATGAGTGGGATGGCATTGGGCAGACTTACCAAATGTCAATCAGATTTTCGGAGGTTTCCGTGCTCGTCAGCACTGGCTCAGGAAACTCAAGGTCTCATTTGAGCGCTGGCATTCCTTTCCCAGTTGCCTTTGCGCGATTCCGGTTCCACTCGCTTTGCTTGAGACATTGCCTTGCTGCGTGGGCCATTTGGCTGACAAGGCCACAGCGGTGGGTTAGGCAATTTCGCTGAGGCTTGAGCTGAGAAGCCTTGAGATAGGGCATGCCCCGAGTACAGAGATTTTGGAGCCGGGCTCCATGTTTTTTTCAAAGAAACTTACCTGCGGTTTGGAGTGAACAAATCCCAGAGTTTGTGTGCGGCTTGGGGCAATCCAACCCCCCTTTCCCCCAAAAAAAAGAAGCGCAAGAGAAACCGCCGGCCCGTGCGAGGACGCTGGGCTTCCTGCTGCCGGCTTTCCACTTCCTCATGGAGCGCCAGATCCGAGCAGGAGCGGCGGGCGGGCGACGGGCATGCCATGATTGGGATGGCCTCGTTGTTGTTTTGCTTTTTTGGTGTCCCTCCCCTCTCTTTCTCTCTTTCTCTGCGGTTGTGGATTTTGTGACTTGTTGATGCTCAGCGTCCACTCATGGTGGGAACCAACATCGCTGACGGTTTACAAGGAAACATATTGGACACACACACACAAATTCTCTTGGCCACAGTGCACCAAGAGTACAGGTCAAATGCTGTGCCAGTACAAGCCCCATTTCTCTTGCTGTCATTGCGAGAGCGCATGCTTCATGCACGAGCTGGATTTCGGAAGGCGAGCGCGGATTGTTCAGCCCGTTCCCAAGCGGTTCGGATGGTTCGACGGTTCGGCGGATGCTAGGAGACCCCCAACTGCTTGTGATGGCGCCAACCCGAGAGCTCGCAGTACAGATCGAGGAGGAGGCGGTGAAGTTCGGCAGGCGGGGCGGCCGGGCTCCGGAGCCGGAGTCGCAGAGCCCGGCAGTCGAGCCGAGCGTCGCATGCAAGGGGGAATTTCATGGGCCAGCCCTCAAAACAACATCCGGGGTACCACGTCACCGCTTGGAATATGTTTTCTGGAATTATTGTTTTGGACACATTTTTGCGGGTGGGGTCATCCTGATTGGTTCCAAAGTTGACGACAACCCGTTGGTGAATGCCGGGAGTCTGCGATGGTGTTTCTTTTCGGGAGCCCCGGTGCAGGCATGGGGTGTGAGAGGGGTCAAGGACCTTGGAGTGAGTCTGGAGTGTCCAGGCCGGGGGGGGGGGGAGGGGGGTGATTGTGTGGGGTGAGGCTGGGTGGTGTGACTGGTACTGGGAATGCTGGCATGTGATGGTAGTTCTTGGGTCGGAGAGAGGTCAAGGACCCCTGGAATAGGTTCCGAGTTTGGAGTTTCCCTGCCAGAGGTGACAGGATTGTGGTTTGCGCGGCACGCAAAAGGTGCGAAAACGAGTCGGCTTGATAGTAGCAAAGCAATTTCCTCCGGGAACCCAACAAGGTTCAGAATAATTTATGCCCATGGTGGTCAGGATGCCCAGGAATACTAAAACAAAAACCGGGGTAATGAGGTTCCCCCGCTTACGCATGGCCATGATATTAGGACAGTTACTGGCATGACCACGTCAACTCTTATTCGGGCATGCTAAGCTCGCGCAATGAAGAGCACAAAAGACGCCCACAGACAGGAACCGACTTGTGCGCCGCAACATGGGGTCCCAATTTCCGGCGGCCGCTTCTGGCGTGCGTGCGTTGTTGCTTGCCTGGGCTGCCCTGACTTTGACCTTCATCTGGTCAGACGCTCCGGCTCCGTGGCTGCACGTCTGGGCGCGCCACGCGCCGCTCGAGCCGCTGGAGCCGCTGGAGCCGCTGGTGCTGTCGGACATCCACCGCAGGACGGATAATCCACTGGTGGACATGGCGGCGGGCACGCTCGGCGCGGCCATATCCTTTGTGCTGCTCTGGATGAACGAGGGCCACGCCGTGCGGATGGACCAGCTGCTGCAGTTTGCCACACGCCGCGTGAAGAGCATCCAGGCGTCTCCGGCCTCGGTGGAGAACCGCCGGCACTTTGTGTTTTTGAACGGCGAGGCACGGACCGCCGACCGGCTGATGCTGCCAGAATGGGGCAGCCTATCTGCACCACCCAATGCCTTCAAGCTGAGAGCTACGGCACTGATCCTCGGCTTCTGGCAAAAAGGAGTTGCGCCACCAAAAAAACGTCCAACAGGAGTGCCTGGTTGCTCTTGTTGCCTCAAACCTATGCAATGCATAGTTCTTTTTATGAGCTTGGTTGAGTTGTTAGCTTGATCCGCATCCTCCGCAGCTGTGCACAGACTCATGCAGCAAAAGGCCAAGTTGTTTTTTCCCCGTGCCGCCATTCAGCATAATCGCCGGTCGACTAAACAGCGAGTCACATGCTACAAAAAGGCTTCCAAGAAGCGACCGGCAAACAAATTCCCTAATTAGCCCGCAGTCCAGACAACCGTCAAGCTGCCATCAACTGCCAGACATCCGCGGTCTGAGCACTGCCTGCTCTTGCTTGCTTTTCATTCGCCCCAGAATTAGGGTCTTGCTCTTTTTGGGGTGGCTGCTCTTTGGTTGGGGGTGTTTGAGCTCGCTCCCATATTGGTAGCGGAGCAGGGTGTTTGGGGTTCTTAGGCTGCTTGCTTGAGCCCCAATGCCCGCTGCCAGCGGCAGCGATGGGACGGCTGTCCTGGTACCACCCGTAAATTCACGCCGGTCCGTGGAGCGGCCGGCATGGCCTACATGCAGGACCAGCCTTCATGACGTGGCTGTATGGCATGTTTGGCCTACGGGATTACCCAAAAGCGGGCGTACCACATAGGCAAGGACATGCTGGACATCCTGACGGCCTCAGACTACACCCGGCGCACCTCGTGTGCCACCAGCACAGAAGATGCCAGCGGCGGCCACACCACCACCGCGGCCAACCTCATCGAAGGCAGCGGCACCAGTCACGCCGATCTCATGGTTCTCGGCAAGGGCGAGGACGAACGGGGTGGATGCGGAGATGGAGGTGTCTGATGAACCGGAGATAGAGAGCTCATCTGCAGGGACCAGCGACATAAAGTCCGACCTGAAGAGGAGAGCCAGACAGGCGAGGAGTTCTTCGGTGACCGGATGAGGTACACGAAGCGGAAGAAGGCCATCGAAGCCCAGGCACAGCTGTAGCTTGAGGAGGCCGAGTTAGCCATGCTCACTCAGCACGAGGAGAGATTTGCAGCTGCTGAAGCTGCAGGGCGAGGCGTTCCGTGAGACGGAAGAGGAGATGTTTGAGCGGGCGGAGAACGAGCGCGCTACGTACCGACGCCTTCCAGGGCAGTCGGTGGCTTCATACATCGGGCAGATGAAGCGCCTGAGAGCACAATACCAGCAAGTAGACACGGACTTGCACCTCTCGGACAAGGCCTGGGCACACAGGCTGAACCAATATGTGGACTGGCCTGGTCCGAACGCATGGGTGTGTGTTCTTCTCGTCCGGAGGACGGTACGTCTCAAGGGACATCGAGCGCACCATGCGTTACAGGTGCGCGAAGATCCACGAGGATGAGAAAAGGCTGGGAGGCGGAATCAGGAGTTTTCCACATCGGCGTGCAGGAGCGTTCAGAGGCCCCGGGCCGTGAAGATCCGGAGCAGGGTGAAAGTTCGGAGTCTTGGTGCAAGACACGTCCAAGACCACACGGAGGCCACCTGGTATGCCACCTACCACGAGGCCGGTGAAGGCAGTGGAGACCCTGCGGAAGAGGAGGAGACGATGGTCCCGCTTGACAAGGAGATCAAAGAGGGCTGGGTGGAAGGCGAAGCAGAAGCGCTCGGACAAGAACAAAGCGCCAACGCCACAGGATAAGCGCAAGAAGACTTCTACGTGCCGCAGCTCGCAGATCGGACACTGGAAGGGTGTCCCAATGTGATGTCCGGCAAGGACCAGCAGCATGCCCAAAAGGCGCCTACGCTCCTGAAATAGAAGGTGGGAGCAAAAGATCAGATTAATGGTCAACAACGACGATCAGCTGTTCCAGATGCAGGTCACCGGCGAGGTGTGCAACTTCTGCCCCAATTTTTGGGGAATTTCAAGACCGTGATCCGCGAATGACCCAGGGCAAGCGGGAGGAGTTCATCAAACCACCTTGGGAAGAAAGTTTGGCGGCTTCACCATCTCGGTACAAGGCCCCAGAAAGGAACTGTGAAGGATGGCTATGTGATTGGTCGGTCGTCGCAGGGACGCCGAGGGAGCAACCAGAGTGAGAAGGCCACACCAGGGGAGGGCAAGAAGGAGCCGCCGCAGAAGCTAGATTTGAAGGATATGCCCAAGGCGAGCGCAAGGACAGGCCATTTCGGGTGCCGCACTGCTGTTGGTGAAGGGGCTAACATGGCTGGAAGAGGAAGAGCACGAGGTCCTCAAGTTTGGTGCCGGAGAGCCGTGCAACAGCACATGCGCTTGTGTGTACCCGGTGGGCATCTACGGGAAGGACACCCTGACTTTGGCGACCGTCGGATGAGCTTGTTCGGCATCACTCGCCCCATGATCCTGACCAACACTTGGCGCCCGGCGGTGGATCTGCTGGACTTCGGCAAGACGAGTGACTTCTGGCACCCGGTGAGGATGCCCCAAGCTTACGCGTTCCTTCAGGCGGAGGAAGGTGCCCTGCTGCCGTTCTGAGGCTCTTTGAGGATGAAAGCTCTGCCGCAGTGAGTGATGGAGAAGAGGGCCGGACCGAGGAGCGGTTATTGGAAGAGCAGCTGCTGGGCGAGCTGCCCACGCAGGAGATACTGGAGCCTACTGATGAGGAGTCGGAGATTCTGGATGATGGATGCGAATCTGACGCTTCGTTGTCACTGACAGTGAGGATGTTAGAGCCTTGGCAGGAAGCCCATGCAGAAGGTGTGCAGAAGCAGCTCACAAGACTGAAGAGTTCAATCCAGATTTGGATGACGAGTTGAGCAGGCGCAGGAGGAGGCTTCAGAGCAAGCAGAAGCATAGCCGCAATAGGTTGCGGTTGATGACGCTGTGGTTGAACACCACCGCCCGCAAAGAAGGTGCTTGCTGAGTCGGCCTTCTCGGAGCCTGTGATGCCTGACATACCGGGCATTCCAATTCCCGGCAGAGCGAGATGAGATCTGCATCCGCTCCAGCCAATCGCAGCATCCTCTCCAGCGTCTCTCCACTGGAGCACGCACTGGGGTCCTCACCTGCGTGAGGAAGTGTGCGAAAGACTGCAAGTCCAGGCTCTATGTGGCGCTGTCGATGATTGACCACGCCACGAACTTTCAACTTTTGAGCAAGCCAGAGCACGTGGCTGGGAAGTTCTTCCCAATGATGCGGCCTGTTTGGAGATCTCACGGAGGTGGTTTTTGATCAAGGAGGAGAGTTTGAGCGGGAGTTCCTGATGGCTCTGGAGCGTCGTGCAATTCAATCCAAGGGTTGGAGCCTATGCCCCGTGGCAGAACTTGTTTGCAGAGACCAGGAGGCCTGCTGGGTGTCGCGTGGCATTCTTTGGTGGTGGTGGTGGACTACGCGCGCGCTGCAGGCAGACAATGCGACGGTGTCTTGACGGGGCTACTCAGCAAATGCTCTGGTGTTCGGAAGACCGGCAAATTTCCCGGACTTGCTGGACGATGACGTCCAGGACAAGACAGAGGACGTTGGGACAAGTGCTGAACCTGGAAGGTGAGAAAGGCGAGCGCTGCTGCGCCTGAAGAAGGCTTTGTTGAGGAGACCGGGAGGAGAACCAATCCTGTTCCTGCCAGGTGAGAGGATTTACTTCTGGGCGCCCGGACCGAAGAACATCAAGCCCAAGAAAAACAGAGCACTCCTGCGACCGTGACGGTGAAGCCGGAGACATGGTGAGGCTGGAGCTGGATGCACAAGACGCAATTCAGGCTTTTGAGAAGGTGAAGACGTTTGAGGAGTCACCCACTGGAGAAGCAGATGATAAGGAATCAATGGTTATGATCCTCAGACGCCGCCGGATTGTCCTGATTTCTGGACCACTGCCCAGCAGATTGAGGACATGCTGGAGGAGGCAGAGAGACGGGCAGAGAGTGAGGAGACGAGCGAGGCAGCGGCGAGGTCGAGCAGCATGTTGGATGATGTTCCGGCGAGCGTCAAGCGGAAGGCCGCGGAGGTGTTACCGGAAGAAGAGGTGAGGAAGAAGTTCAAGAAGGACTTCTTCCAGACGGTTCTGCTCGCCACCGCTGCGGATGAAGTGCAGGACAGCAGCTGGGAAGCTTTGGAGTCCCAGAGAGGAGCTGGTCGAGACGAACAGAAGCTTCAACCACTGCTGAACCTTGTCTTGGAGCCCCGCACTTGCGAGAGAGGAAAGGCAAACGGAATGCCGGTCACAGCAGTGAGGCCCCACAAACAGCCTCGAAAGAGGACGCAGAAGCCACCACAGAGCAAGCAGCTGGTCGGGCAGGAGATTGGCAAGGTCATGGTGGTTCGAGAGAGGGCTGCGGAGGTCAAAGAGCAGCCCAGAAGAAAGGCTCCGTTTCTTTGGAGAGGGATGACGCTCTTCACAAAGACGGAGGGGAGCAGTTTCGCCTGTTTAGGAGCTGCGGATCAACAATTTGTTCCTTCGATGTGAGCTTGGTTGAGTTGTTAGCTTGGTCCGCATCCTCCGCAGCTGTGCACAGACTCATGCAGCAAAAGGCCCGCAGTCTGAACACTGCCTGCTCTTGCTTGCTTTTCATTCGCCCCCTAATTAGGGTCTTGCTCTTTTTGGGGTGGCTGCTTTTTGGTTCGGGGTGTTTGAGCTCGCTCCCATACTTTTCAGGTTCCTTTTGTTTCCTGTACCAGGCAATCCCCGCAAAGGCATGTGTTCGCACCAGCCAAGGATGTATCAATGGGAAGAAGAAAAGGATGACAAGAATGTGAGCTACGCCAAAGCCTGGAAGCATCACCGCGTGAACTCCGATCGCTTCCAGCAAAGCGGCTACGAGAACCCGCCTTTTCCTGTGGTGCCGGCCTGTATGGCCCTTGCCAAGGTGCGGGTGGGGGACTTCATCCTCCCCCAAAAGATGCTGGGGAAATTCCAGAATTACCAGCCCTGCGGGGTGAGCGACCAGGTTTTGCAGGAAATCCAGGCAGGACATAGAATGAGCAGCTATGGTCCGGGTGTGCGGACGCAGCACCGGGCCTCGCTCTTGGGGTCCAAGGAGGCGATTTTCTTCTCGCGAATCGGCGGCGGAACTGCCTCGAACCCGGCGGTTGGGGATTTGATGGTGATGTTTGAGTATGCCCCCTGTACTCCCGTCACCTTACTTGCTGTGCAGGTGCCTTTCACGGGAAGCCCGGATGGGCGAATCTTCGTTCCAGGGACTCGATGCCAGGCTCGCGGGCGTCCAGCCGAGATCACTGAGGTGACTCCGCCCCCGAGGCCGATTCAAGTGCATTACACGGACACAAGAAAACCGGATTACGAGTTTCTGGAGATGGGCGAACTGTCCGGGATGCTGACTGAACCTTGGCCCGCTGACGCCGCATCATGGACCTTTGCTCCGTTGCAGTTCACGCAGGGCAAGGAACTGAGGCCGGCGATGCTCAGAGCACACACAGGCGTCACAAATCTGGCGGACGAAGCGGGTCAGCATTTGCTGGGCGAGAATGAGCCGGATGTTTACATTGAGGAGGAGCAATCAGGCATCTCCCATGTCATGCATGGAGTGACGTCGATGACAAAGATGTTGGACATCACTTGGAGCCCTACACGGCTTTCAGCCGCTTTCCTGAGCGGGTCCTCGCCAGACGAGATTTGCGTCGCCCTGATTGGCACCTACACCTGCAAGCAGGCCCTGCGCCAGGAGAGCGCCGCACGCCGTTTCGCCAGTCTCCTTTTTTCCCCCTTTTTTTTTCCCCTTCGGGTCTGAGTGACGGAGTTTTTAAGCTTTTTGGCTGTCGAAGCTCGCTCCAGATCCGACTCTAAACGCGGACTGGGAGAGAGAGTTCGGTCAGGAGAAGGCGAACGAGATGCGTGTGAACGCGGCAGTGCGTCTTTTTGGTTTCGCCCTCATGGCGGTCGGCTTCCACAACATGATGCGGCCACTCACCTGGGCGCTGTCCTACCTGTGGATCTTCGGCACCATGCTGAACTTGCTCGTGCACCTGGGAAGCTGCTGCTGCGCGCTGGCCTGCTCCGGCTGCACCATGGGAACTGCCTGGGTGGCCTACCGCCCCGCTTATGGTCTGGGGATCTTCCTCCTCTGTATGCTGCTGCTGTTCTACAGCAAGCAAACGTCCGACGCGCCCAGCTGGTGACATGGGCCGAAGCGAGAGATTCCTCGGAAAATGAATTGGGCGTCAAGAACCCTCGTCAGTCTTTCGTTCAGGTGTCTTTAAACTGGGGGAGCCCCTATTGGATAGTGTCCCTGTGAGTCCCCAACAGAGCACCCGCAAAATACGAAGCCCTCCCAACTCGGCCAATCGGATTTGTATGTCGTATGCCAAATCGTGTTTGCCCGCCTGGCCAGGGCGAGCGGCATTAAGACCTGCTGCTGCTACGGTGGAGCACCAAAAGGGCCCCAGGCTATGTCGCTGAGGGACGGCGTGCATGGCGTCATCGGCCACTCGCCGGACGGCAAAATCATGGGAGCCTGCTTTGGTTTGTTAAGGTCGGACCTTCAGCATGCCCTCGGTTTTTCTTTTGGTTCTCCTTTAAAACCGCAGAAAAAGGTAGCCCTACAAACAAGACACACTCATTGGGATTCCAGAAGCAATATCCACTGTTTTCCTTGAGTACATGAAACATACTGTATATTATGAGGTCCATGGTTTCCAAGGGCTGGGGATGAAATAGGACACCTGGGCTTAAGATCGTGGCAAAGCGTGGTTCGTCCAGTGCCCCCCGAGAGTCTTCACAGATGGATCGGGCAACTTCTTGACTCAAATGCGATGTACTTCTGGCCGAGTGCGATGTTTTGGAGACAGAGGTGAAATTGATACGGGGGTGGCTCAAAATTACAGAGTCAGGGCTACGCAGGTTTTGGTCTTTGTGTTCATTTATGAAGGGCCCATTTTGGGTACCGTTTTTGTAAGCCATGCCGGACCAAGGAACTCCGGGCCGGATCAACGACTTCCTGGAGGGCAATCAGTGGCTTAGCCGCAGAAAGAGTCGATACCGGGGGCTCCACGATCGGTATCGTGGGATTCTCTCAGTGTTCTCGATGATGATGATGATGATGATAAGGATATCAATGATGTTGTAATACCCTCTGCATTACCAATGAATGCCGTCTACGAGATGGTTATGAACATCAGTCAAGATAATAAAAGATTCTCATACGAATTATCATCGTAGTATCCGCTTCGTTTCCATTGAAACGCATAGAAACAGATGATGAAAATGATGATCATTCCAAAGAGAAAATCCAAGGATACCCTCCCACCAGCTAACATGGGTTTGTGCGCAGACCCTTTTGGTTAGTTGGCCTTTTTGCACTTCCATGTTAGTTGGTGGGAGGGCAACGGGTGAGCTCGATTGAGCTGGCCAAAATCTTCAGATCTCCTCATGTGGGCCATGGTCATGGCGTTCTAAACTGGAATCCTTGTGATGGCTGTGACTAGCCGAGCCTCTGGCGGGGGCTTGCGCACATGCGTGCCTGTGGCTTCCAGGGCATGTGGGGAAGAAGCGTTCGAATCGCTATGGCCGATCAGAAAGACTCAATCTGCTTGGTGGAGGAATCCAACGGCTTCGACTTCTTTCATGTTTACTTTCTTTGGATGCCAAAGGCGGTGACACCTCGATTGTTCGCAGAATGAATGATTCTCAATTGTTTCCCTCCCTCAAATGCCAGACGCCATGAGGGAGGGTATCATACTTTGTAGGGAAGGTGAAAGGTTCCAAATGCTTGCTTGCTTGCTTGCTCGCCGATTTCAATCGTGTCTCATTTTCCGACGTGTTCGTCACGACGGGTCGAAGCCTGCAAATGCGAGGATCCGGATGCAGGACGTGTGCAAGCTGGTTCTGGACGAGGCCGGGACGGGACTCAGCTCTTGTTTAAAGCTTCCGGTGTCTTTTTTTGGGGGACCCGAAAAAGACGAGACCAGGTTTTTTTGGTCGTCCCTTTGGTTTTCCCGATACCAGGCAAAACATTTGGTACCCTCCCACCAGCCAACATGGAAGTGCACAGACCCCTCTAGAAGCACTACTTTTCTCATGGAAAGGGCCTTTTTGCACTTCCATGTTAGTTGGTGGGAGGGTACCAACTCCAAAAAAGTTGGGGGGGACCCCGAAAAAGAAGAGGCTAGTTTTTTTTGTTTGTTTTCCCTTTACCCTCCCACCAGCCAACATGGAAGTGCAGAGACCCCTCTAGAAGCACTACTTTTCTCTTGGAAAGGGCCTTTTTGCACTTCCATGTTAGTTGGTGGGAGGGTACCAACTCCAAAAAAGTTGCGGGGGGCCCCGAAAAAGAAGAGGCTAGTTTTTTGCATTGTTTTCACTTTGCTTTCCCGTTGAAACCAGGCAACACATTTGCTACCCTCCCACCAGCTAACATGGAAGTGCACAGACCCCTCTAGAAGCACTACCTTTCTCTTGGAAAGGGCCTTTTTGCACTTCCATGTTAGTTGGTGGGAGGGTACCAACTCCAAAAAAGTTGGGAGGGACCCCGAAAAAGAAGAGGCTAGTTTTTTGCTTTGTTTTCACTTTGCTTTCCCGTTGAAACCAGGCAAAACATTTGCTACCCTCCCACCAGCTAACATGGAAGTGCACAGACCCTCCTAGAAGCACTACTTTTCTCTTGGAGAGTGCCTTTTTGCACTTCCATGTTAGTTGGTGGGAGGGTACCAACTCCAAACGAGTTGGGGGGGATCCCGGAAAAGAAGAGGCCAGTTTTTTGCATTGTTTTCACTTTGCTTTCCCGTTGAAACCAGGCAAAACATTTGGTACCCTCCCACCAGCTAACATGGAAGTGCACAGACCCTCTAGAAGCACTACTTTTCTCTTGAAAAGGGCCTTTTTGCACTTCCATGTTAGTTGGTGGGAGGGTACCAACTCCAACAATGTTAGGTGGTACCCCGAAAAAGAAGAGCCTAGTTTTGCTTTCCCGTTGAAACCAGGCAACACATTTGGTACGGTACCAACTCCAAAAAAGTTGGGGGGGGACCCCGAAAAAGAAGAGGCCAGTTTTGTTTTTGTCGTCCTTTCCCTTTGCCCGTTGAAACAAGGCAAAATATTTGCTACCCTCCCACCAGCTAACATGGAAGTGCACAGACCCCTCTAGAAGCACTACTTTTCTTTTGGACACGGCCTTTTTGCACTTCCATGTTAGTTGGTGGGAGGGTACCAACTCCAAAAAAGTTAGAGAAGCTAGGTGTTTTTTTTGTTTTCCCTTTGCTTTCTCGTTGAAACCAGGCAAAACATGTGGTACCCTCCCACCAGCTAACATGGAAGTGCACAGACCCCTCTAGAAGCACTACTTTTCTTTTGGACACGGCCTTTTTGCACTTCCATGTTAGTTGGTGGGAGGGTACCAACTCCAAAAAAGTTGGGAGGGACCCCGAAAAAGAAGAGGCTAGTTTTTTTTTTCCCCTCCCGTTTTCCCTTTGCTTTCTCGTTGAAACCAGGCAAAACATTTGCTACCCTCCCACCAGCTAACATGGAAGTGCACAGACCCTCTAGAAGCACTACTTTTCTCTTGAAAAGAGCCTTTTTGCACTTCCATGTTAGTTGGTGGGAGGGTACCAACTCCAAAAAAGATGGGGGGGACCCCGAAAAAGAAGAGGCCAGGTTTTTTTGTTGTTTTCCCTTTGCTTTCCCGTTGAAACCAGGCAAAACATTTGGTACCCTCCCACCAGCTAACATGGAAGTGCACAGACCCCTCTAGAAGCACTACTTTTCTCTTGGAAAGGCCCTTTTTGCACATGGCATCTGTGGGGAGGTACCTGGAAGATTAATTTCCTTTTGAAGAGAGCCCCTGTCAGTTGCCGTGTGAGTGGGAGGGAGGGAGGGTACCAACTCCAAAAAAGAAGACGAGCCTACCTTCCCGGACGCGGACGGGCAGGCCGACCGCATGCTGGACATGGGCTTCGAGCCGCAGATCCGCAAGATCCTGGCGAAGCGCCCCGGAGGAGTTTTTTTTTCTCGGCGCTCTTCGCGGGGCGCCTTTCGGACGGGGGGGAACTTTGGGTTTTTGGGCTCCCCTACAAAGATTGACGACAGAAAAGAAGGGCACCCTTATTCCAACCTCTCTGGAGGACCTATAGAAGGTGTACTCCCCTATGGAAGCTTTGGTGCACATTTTGCCAAGGGATGTTGGGACTTTATAACTTTTTAGCCAACGAATGGGTTTTCTGTATTGAACCAGTAAGAGTTAGTCACTTTTAGCAGGGGAGCAGAAAGCAACCGAGTTTGGTTGTGGTTGGCCCCTTCGGCTGCTGTTTAAAGCTTGGTGGTGAAGCCAGCCATCCGGTCCCTGAGCTTGTTTAGTGGTAGTTTCCAAATTTAACCCACTAAAAGTTGGCCACTTTTGGCGGGGGATCTGAGAATGGGCAGCCCAGTAAACCACCTTAAGCAGGACGGACAACAATCGCAACGTATCTCGAAATGTCACTGGTTTCGGGGAAAGGTCAGGTTTCCCATGCGACAGTGGGTGGCTCGCCTTGTTTGGGAGTGGGTACTTGGGTACCTCGTGTTTTGGGGGGCGGGGAGGGGTTTGAAGGGGAACCAAAGGGAAGACAGAAACCATTTTGTGGGCCTGGGTGGGTGGTTGCGATGGTTTTTGCGGTTGCGGTGTGATTCTTTGGCGTTGTCGACGGGCTTTTGTTTCTCCCTTTTTTGGCGGGTGGGTGGGTGTTTTCATGGGTACGGGCAGTGGTGTTTTGTTGCCGCGTGGTGCCCGTCAGAAGGTTAAGGCGGCTGCTACTGTAGAAGCGCATCCACATGTTCGGTGGGAGCAGGAAGTCTCCATGGGGCCGCGCTGTACCTGAGGTTGTTTCTTCCGGCAGGTTTGGTGGTTTGGGTGGGTGGGTGGGTGGGTGGTGGGTGGGTGGGTGGGTGGGTGGGTGGGTGGGTAGGTGGGTGGGTGGGTGGGTGGGTGGGTGGGTGGATGGATGGATGGATGGATGGATGGATGGATGGATGGATGGATGGTGGCTTTTTGGGCGGGGTAGTCTTTGGGTGGATATGTGCGGGAGGGCAGAGGGTTTCAACATGTCTTCGAAGGAAAAGGTTTGGCGATAACCACGCCAATCTGCCGTTGTGATGCACAAGCCAAAGAGAGGTCCTCCGAAAGTTACCAACAACACTGCGTGCTGCACCCAAAAGAGCGTTTCGCCACGCCTTCTTCAGCAATGTTGCCGTGTTTTGCTCAGATGGTGATGTAACTACGCCAAATATGGGGTAACAATGCTGACAAAAGGGTAACAACGCCAAGAATGTGCAGTAATCCCGTTGAACAATAAGACAAGATCAGGATTGCTCTGTGACCTCCGGACGCTTTCTGTGGTCTTTAGGGGTGAGCCACAATCAAAACCCGGGTAGATGAAGGTTAGCAAGGGACAATCCCGACCATAAATAGTTGCGGATATCCGCCTTCTTAATTCTTGAAGCCTGGTTCTGGGATTATGACCATTTCGATACCGTTTATTTTAGTTTATGACTCAAAAGAGGTACCCTCCCCCCCAAAAAGATCAAGAATGAAACAAAGTAGAAAGCTGGATCTTGTCAGAATGAACATGGTGAACATGGTTTTGATTATGACTCAGGTGTGTTTAGGCAGGGTGAACAGCACCTGTTGCGCCGAGGGTGACCAATCCCTACCGCCACACCATGTTCTTCACCGCGACCTGGCCCCAGAGCATCCGACGCCTGGCGTCCGAGTTCCTCCGGAACCCAGCCGCAGCCTGAGCCGATGGCTAGGTCCCCTAGGTGCCCTTCTCTCCCCGTTTCTTTTTTGGTTGGGAGGGAAACCCCCTACTAAAATAGACTGCCAAAAAAAGGGTAGCCTTATTCTAGTCTCTCTACTGGAGGACCTAGATGGTCCGCGAGTTCGGAAGGCGTTGAAATCGGGTAGGGCCAACGGTGATGTGAAAGGATCCCTAAGCTCCAAAGAGGCAAGCTGAGTGATGAATAAGGGGGGCTTTAGTCAGGGGTCCACATACTCCAGTGGCCCCCTTGAAACTATGTTGGGAGATCAATGAAGGAGACCTTAAGTGAATCTATTTAGGCAGTGGAAACTGGAGCGGAGAGAATTGCTAGGCATTTGTCGGAGGAAGCTCCTTTTACATCCCCCAAGTAGCCTCGAACGCTTTTCCTTTGATCAGGCTGACTCCCCCCACCATCACCTGCTTTTGAGATGCGATTGGGTGTCAAGGATGGCGGCCGCTTTGGGGATTCACAGAACTGGCACAAGAGGGAATCTTCCCCAGAATTCGTTCCTTTTTTTTTCCGCTGCTTTTTTGGGGTTCTCTTTGTTTTCCGCTACCAGGCAAAAAATATCATTGGTTGCTGGGGTCCTAATTCCAGCCAAGAAGGCAGGTGCCCAGCCGCTGCGCGCGCCATGCCTGAGCCCTGAGCCCTGCGCCCATAGCGTGTCCTTTTTAGGTTTTGGTTAGAAATCGATGGGCAAGCCACTGGTTTAGGTTGGTTTTATTACCCATTGACCAGGGACACCCATCTATTTGTCAACCCAAAAGGACAACGCCTGCGCCCCGACTGAGATCCAAATCCAAATCGGCAATCGAGATGAGTTGAAGGGCAACCAGGAGACCGTTCGGATTCGAATCGGATTCGCATCCGTTTCGCAGGGCTCGTTTTAGCTCGTTTTACGTGGGGGTCCGATTTCATTACACTCATTAACCAGAATGCCTTGTGTTGATCAACCACCGAGTTGAATTTGAGACCCTGTACTTTGAGTCTTTAGCTTTTTGTGGGCTCCAAGGCTTGCTTGGCCGAATATGTTTCTCTGAACTGTCCATACAAGGCGTTGTTCCTTATTTGGGGTCCCTGTGCGCGGAGACGACACAGTGACAACATGATGTGTCCGACATGGTTGACGTACATTCTGCGTTCCTGGCTGGGATTCCTTGGTGGCTTTGCTCCAGATCTTTCCCTATTACATGATTGGATTGATTGGATTGATTGGATTGATTGGATTGACTGGATTGATTGGATTGATTGGATCCATTGGATTAATTGACACATTGATGGATTGATTGACAGATTGATGGATTGATTGATGGATGGATTGATGGATTGATTAATTGCTTGCTTGCTTGCTTGCTTGCTTGCTTGCTTGCTTGCTTGCTTGCTTGCTTGCTTGCTTGCTTGCTTGCTTGCTTGCTTGCTTGCTTGCTTGCGCGAGTGTGTGTCCGTGCGTTCGTGCGTTCGTGCGTTCGTGCGTGCGTGCTTTGGTGTGTTGCGTTTTTGCCTCCCTCTCGCTCGCTCGCTCTCTCTCGCCTCTCTCTCTCTCTCTCTCTCTCTCTCTCTCTCTGTCTTTCTTTCTTTCTTTCTTTCTTTGCCTTGGAGCATTCGTGTGTTTGCGTGTTTGTGTCCTTTGCATTTGCTTGCAGGACATTGTGCAGATTGTGACTCCCTGCACGATGTCCAACAAGAACCAGATCTTGCTGCAGGTCTTGTCCCAGTCAGGCCAGTGCTGTGGTTGGGCTTGTTGTGGTCTGTCATTGGTTCAATCATGATTTCCTCAAAACCACCCCATGAGTTCAATTGGAAAATGCCTTCAATGTTTTATCTGTTTCTTCTTTTTTTTGGGGGGGGGGGGAGGTCGTAAGAATCAACCAACCAACTTGAATTGGTGGCGATTCTGGTTTTGACTTAAATCCACAGGCCCTTGATTCAAAGAGTCCACGAGTTGGAGCCCCATGACCAAACATTCGTTGATTCACCTAACAACAAATCAGGACACATATGTTCATTGCTTGTTCATTGGTAGAGAGAGAGAGAGAGAGAGAAAGAAAATAAGACGTTCTCCAGCCTTTTCCGGCATTTTGTATGGACAGTTGAACCTCATGGCTCGAGCCGATGTTGCCATTGCCGCGACCGGCCCCTTCGCGCACCGCTTTGCGCTCCAGGTGTCGGGGACCGCCACAACAGCGCGGCCAAGGCCATCATTTTCTGCTCCACGAAGCGAATGCCGGGGGCCCAATTTCGACCGACTCGCTCGTTTTTGGCGGGCGAGAGAGAGCCGGCCGGTTTTTGGCAAGTGATCGTAAGCCTGGTGAGATGAATGAGCCAAAGGGAGACGAAAAAAGCATGGCTGTGGGGTAGAACCATTGCCCAATTACCTGACGCACAATGCCTTTGTAGTAGCGATCCATCAATGACATCAGTCGCACACATTGCGTGTAGAGTAGATGCTTGAGGCAAAACTGGGCAAAGCGCCAGGAAACGGCTTGCAGGAGAGCCTGTCCGGGGCCTTTCTCTGCAAGAACGCGGCCCCTGCGATTTCGGGTTGCGCAGCTTCCCATCGCATAGGTGTCCTTTTTGGTTGTTGTGGGGGAAAAATAGCATGGCGATTCCTGGTTTACCTGGTGGTTTCATCATCCAGGGCCATCTATTTGCCCTATGAAACACGCATGTCGCTTCTTGGAGGGAGCAGCTCCCGAAAACCACAGGCACGGGTTGGGCGATGCAAAGATTTGCAGGCATGCTAGGTGCTTATGGGCTTTTGGGAGGGTGGCGCTTCCCAAAAGGACACCTGTGTTCCCTCGGCGCGCTTTGAGGTGCGACCAGCTGCAGCGGGACCTGCAGCGGAACGGGGTGCCCTGCGCAGCCATCCATGGCGACAAGGGCCAGCGCGAGCGCGAACATGCCGCCCGGCTACGGCTCGTGGCTGGGGGGCATGGACTTGTTAAATATGGCTGTGGTGGTCAAAACCGTTTTGGTTGATCCCATTTTGGTAGGTGAATTCACCACCCATTTTAGAAGCTATTTTATCGGTTGGATTGGGATGTTCGCTGGGGGTACGGGATTGTGACCCATTGCCATATGACCAATAGGGATTATGGTTAACTAGTTAGTTGGGTCAATGGCTAAGGATCAATACTGTGGATAGGCAAGCTTTGCTGGGCACCAGTTGGTAGGTTGTTTATCAACTAGCATCCATAGGGTATCAACCATCCCAACTGGTGCGAAGTGGATGTTGTCCATCCACAGATAAGAACCGTGCATTTTTCAGGGGTGCGAGTGGGGCGCGAGCGGGCGTGAGTGGATGAGATTTGAGGGGTTGGGAAGGCGCTCGCAGAGGTCAAAACACCATGAGCGTCGATAGGCCCAACGTTAGCGATCATCCATTTCCTCACGCATTTCCGCATTTCCGGTTGAGCAACGTTTTGGGGGGCCGTCATGTTTTGAAAAACAGCTGTTGCTGTTGGGGCCTCCACATTGATCTCAAACAAAAAATGCGTTTCTGCTCAATGCTCCATGCAGCATGCACCTTTCTGGGCGCCTAGTGCGCTTTGGCGTGTCCTCAAATTGGGCATTTGACTTGGTTGGTATGCTTTTTTGGTTCTTTTTAAGACCATCTAAATCCGTTTCCCCGAGTTTCACAGGCACGTATTTCGCCGATGATCTCTCTGGTGCCATACAGAGTTCAGCTGCCGGACCTCTCTGTTGCGAGTGTTCAAGCGACTATCCAAATCTTGATGCTTATTTGGTTGGATCTTTGGGCTTTGATTGGTTTGGGAAATGATTGCTTCTTCATTGGACCCACAGAAAGTTAAACTTTTTGCAGAGGGGTCAACAGCGACCATGCAAATGCGAGAACGAGCTTCACAAAAACCGCACCACGACCTCCAAGCATAAAACCTAGCAGCAGACTGTGTTTTAAGCGTGCGAAGCGATTTTTTTTGGCTTGAGCAGGGAGGGGGTCGACCGCGGCGGTCGACCGCACGGCCGGGTTTAGGCGCTCGGGGAACTGAAGACCGGCGCCATGAAATTGATCTGTGCCACGGACGTTGCAGCACGAGGCATCGACGTCAAAGGCGCCGTTCCCGGGTGGCGAAATCGAGCGATCGGTCGGCCGGTCAGGTTACCCGCCAAGGCAAGCTATTTCTTCGGTGGATGTGTTTTTTTCTTTTCTTTTTTTCTGCGTTTGGGAGCTTTGTGTTTTGTGTCGGTGGATGTCTTGGTTTTTGGACCCAACAGGAACGAGCAGCATCATCTTTCTAGGGCTGCCTTCCCCATTCTTTCCAAGAATCCTTCTTTCTGGAAAACTTCCAGAAACCCAGGTTGAAAACGGCTGGTTTTTGAAAAGCACGATGGCTGAACAAAATGGACAAGGGAATCAGCCCCTAGAATGGCTCACTCCACAACTTCCATTTTGAAAGGAATGGTTGAACAGAATGGGGAATCGACCCCTAGAATGGTTCACTCCACAACTTCCATCTGAAAAGAATGGTTGCACAGAATGGGGAATCAAACCCTAGAATGGGGACTCAACCCTAGAATGGGGAATCAACCCTAGAATGGGGAATCAACCCCTAGAATGGGGAACCAACCCCTAGAATGGGAACCAACCCCTAGAATGGGGAACCAACCCTAGAATTTCTAGAATGGGGGAATTGCTGGGTTTTGAACAGAATGGAAAAGGAATCACCCCCCTAGAAAAGCCAGCTTATCCTCCATATCTTCCGGACCTTCCCCCAGATCATGTTTAGCAGAATGGTTGGAATCAGCCCAGTTCCATTCTTTCCAGGAAAACCCACAGAAAATGGCTGGTTTTTGAAAAGCATGATGGCCGAACAGAATGGAAAAGGAATCACCCCTCAGACTCTTGCCGCACGGTGCGCTCAACGGTGGGGGTCGCCGGTTCGTTTTTCGTCCGCGCGTCCTGCGCGAGGCGTGACGCTGGTGGTGAACTACGACGCGCCGGGCAACACAGAGGACTGCGGATTCGACTGCTCAAGAAGATGTGGCCATGGGTCAAAATCCAATTCGTACCCCCAGTGAACATCCCAATCCCCACTAAAATGGGTGGTGCACCTGCCCCCCAAAAAATTCCATTGGTTTTGACCCACAGCCACATGGTGGAAAAGGGTTTTTACGACGTGGACAATTGGTTTTAGGTGGTGGAAAAATGGGTCTTTAGGTGATGGACAAAAGGTTTTAGGTGGTGGACAAATGGTTTTAGGTGGTGGACAAATGGCTTTAGGTGGCAACACTTTGTGTGAGCCAAGTTTTTTTTCTTTGAAATGAAGCAGCGGGGAGGGGAGTGCCACTTGGAATGGATTCCTCGAGCACCGTAGCTTGTGCATTCTTGTCACGGATGAGGGACCAAAGGTATTTGGGATATACACCACAGTTTTTGCCCCCCTCCCGTTTCGTTGATTTGTTTCGCTAGGACTATGTGCATCGAATTGGCCGAACAGGCCGTGCTGGCCAGAAAGGCGGCTTGGAGTCACTATCCCTTCTCATTTCTTTCAGTGAAGTTCTTGGAAGGGTCGGAAGGGCTCCGAAGGGAAGGGGTTGGCTTGGCCCTAGAATGTTTGTTGTAAACCGCCTCCCAAACGGTCCTGCAGTCTACCAACAATTCTTGGGCCGCACGGCTGGGGCCTTGTGTCCTCAGGTGCTTGTGTGATTTGGCCTCTAAACGCCTTGCGCATCCATGGGTGATGACACACCTGGGTGCTGACTGATGTTATGACCACAGAGCCTGGAGTTCTTTGATGGGCAGCCATCTTCTGAAGTGAGGCCAAACTGATTGAATTGAACGGGGACCCTGCTAGGAGGCTCGATTCTCTGGCGCACCCTTACGGCCTGGCTCTTTCTCTTTCTGAATGTTTTGTCTGAATAATGGTTCTTGGGGATTTTTGTTCTCCAGTCGGTGGTCCAGTTGTTTTCTAAATTTTACAGGTGCTCATTCTGAAGGTTTCCTAGAATTTCTGTGTCGATCACATTCTCTTCACGTTTTTCATCACCATGTTGAGTCTGAAGGTTTGTCATGCATTCTGTGTCTTGGGTGATGGTTTTAGAGATGCTTCTGCCGAAAGTTTTCTCCGAAACATGAGCCTGGAGTTTTCACAACTGATTCGCATTAATACTGTCTTTGAATGTTGTGAGGCTTGAGGTGTTCGTCATCGATTCAATATCTTTTCTGAAGGTTGACTCCGAATCCTGTGTTTTGAGACTACTTTTTCGAAATGCTTCACAATGCTTATTCTGAAAACGTTGTGCGCCTCCTGGATCTCGAGCCCCTCCTCAGCTCATTTTGCATCTCAATCCAAGTTTTTATTTTTAAGTATTTCCTCGACAAGACATTCAGTCTCTAAACAGCTCCTGCTGAAGCACCTGTGTCCAAAATTCCAGGCCGTGACACATGTGACTCTGGGCAAGAATCAAGTTTGCTTGTTGCAAGTTCCGGAGCGCTGCGATTGAAATCTTCAGGACCGGCTTCAAAGTTTCCGAAGAACGGGCTCATCATACAAAGCGACTTTGTTGTACGGTCCTATGGTGAAAATTCAAAACAAACGGAGCAAGGAACTTCTAGCACTGGAGAAAATCCAACTTTTGTTTACCTTCCGTTGCTTTTTACTGCTGAAGGACACCCGGGGTAAGATCAGGAATCTTGTCGTGGTAAACCTAAGGGGGATGGCACCAAGTTGAGCGGGCGCCATGGCCTTGCTGACACAGCGAGGCTATGCCGTGACTCTGATCTCGGACAAAGACGCCCACGCCTTGCGCGGCATCATTGAGGTGATGCGGCGGACCAACCAGGACCGACACGCACACGCACGCACACATACAAGCACAAGCACGGCCGAATAGAGCTAAGTTGCCTAGGACAACACATTTCAGTCGGAAACGTGTCCTGTGTTTTCTTTTGAGCTACAAATGGTTGACTGCGTGTAAGGTAGGAGGAAGTGGGGATGACGTACAGCTGTTCGTGGTTTATGTCCACTAGAGTGTCCCCGGTTGAGTTATGAACGTTTCGGTGGGAGTGTTCGTGTCGTGGCGCGCGTGCCATGCGAGCAGCAATCAAAAAATGCCATCTGGTAGGCTCGACCCGGCTTGGGAGCATAGAGACTTGGGGTGTGCCTCCCTTGATGGAATCGTTTGCAGGCAAAACGGGAGCAAGCCGCTCATGTTTTGCGCTCCATTTCTGGGCGCCTGAATACAAACCGTATTATGGTCATTTCGGTAGAAACATCGACCCCGCTGCGGCTTTCCTGGCAGGAAGTGACTCCTGACGTGGAGGCCGGTTCGCCGCAGTCGGAAGAGGTCAGCTGGTTATGCGGAAGGTGTGGTTCATTCGTGGTAGCAGCGAAGGGCAACACCGCATGCCTCTTCCGGCGTTGCTGGGCAGGTCTTATTTTGAATGGGAAGGGAATCAAGAAGGCTTCATTTCGACGGTTTGAAAGGTCAGCCAAGAGCAAGCTAGCTCTTTGGATGGTCTCAGTTTCATTTCGACACGTTCAGCTTGACGCATTCATGCTGACAGATGTTCACTTTTGAGTCTGAAGGAATGTTGGAATTGGAATCCCTTCCAGCACAGATCTGCATGCGATGGAGTGAATTCAAGGTTTGAGCTGGGGCATGTTGTCTTAGTACCGCTGGCGGCTGAGAATTCAGGCTGTCTTAATCTGAAGGTTTGGATGTGTTCCTTGCATATGAGCTTGCCGCGCACATAAGGCGTCAACCCCAAGCGACCCCTGGATCAGCCTAGGGTTGTCCAACTCTCGTTCCGCGAACCCCTTGCCCCACGGAAGTTTGCCTGTTTGCCTTGTTCGCTCGGGCCAATGTGCAATGGCCCGGGAAAGCGAACCGCTCACCGATCATCCATGCCTTGTTCGCCATTTCTGCCTATGATGGTACCCAGAGGCTTCCAAACCCTTGGCCCGGAGTTCAAGAGTGTGCGTGTGGGGCATCATGGCGGTATGATACTAGATTTGAATGGCGTGATTTTAGCATTTGTAGCATCAAACTAGAAGACCAGGTATGCTTATTTTGATCCTAGTATTGTTGTATCATCTTCCATTTGCCGAAATGAATCTTTTTTGGAAACTGTTGGCTCTTAAAGCGAATCTATCACTGTTGCTTATTATTATTCTATTTCCGGGAGGCTAGTTTCCCTGTTGGTTTAAAGGGAATTTGCCACCATTGGTTTTGTGTTTATTTTCTCCAGGAGGCTTGAGAGAATCTTTGGTACATTTTGCTTGGATGTTAGGACTTTGACTTTTTGCCAACTTTTAGTGGTTTTCCATCAAACCACTGAAAGTTACACTTTTAGCAGGGGCGCAGAAAGCAACCGAACAATGGAGGTTCTAGTTTGGACGTTGCCACATTTTTTTTTCGAGGCTATGTCCCGCAATGCGGGGCCGCCACCGCCGAGCGGCCGCGCTTTGCGCGGCAAGGGCCGCTGAGTGCGGGGCTCGGACTCTGGCTGGCGCGGACAGCTTTGGCACGGGACGGGCCGATGTCTTCCAGGGAGAACTTTCTTTCAGGTTCTGACCAGAATGGATCTTGTTTTCAAGTTTCCGGTCATACATTTTTCTCCCGGGGATCGTTTGACCAGAGTGGGCAGAACATGGTCTCCAGCGAGAGACAGAACGGGAGATCAAAAACAACTCTGTGCGTGTGTGTGTGTGTGTGTGTGTGTGTGAGTGTGTGTGTGTGAATATGGAGGGGCTCTTGAAACAGTTCTGAGACCAAGTAAGAGCCCCGGGCTTGGGGGGTCGCTTTCAGAGTCAAACGAACTGGCTGTGGCCTTACTTGGCCTCTGCAAAGCCAGGAACCTTCTTGGAGGAGGGAACCAGCATGACGCCAGCTATTTGGAGGGTTTCCTAGTTTTGACCTACACCCAAATCAAGAAAGCAAACATATTATTTGTGACCTCCTGGAATGCAGAAGCTTTGGTTGGCGTGCCGCTTTCGAAGCGCTGAAATACGGTAGTCCTTGTCCAACAGCCACACCAGTGTTTTTTTCTTCGGGAGAGGGCGTCACACCAAGAGACAGAATAGGATGCCAAGACTTTGGCTTCCGGATTCCGGCTTGGCCGGTTGGCTGAGCGCTGAGCCGCTTGATAGGCAGGAGGACGGATGGCTTCCCTCCATTCGCCTGGCTTTGCGATATCCGCTCCGCATGTGTTTTTCCGGGCCGTTGAAGTCAGGATCATAGGTGTCCTTTTTGGTTGTTTTGGTAGAAGAATAGATGTAGATGGCCCTGGTTTACCTGGCAGTTCAATCATCTACCAGGGTCATCTATTTCCCCAAAAAGGACACCTATGATCAGGATGCTTTAGAGTTTTGCGAGACATCGGAGGGACACGTCGTGCCGACGATGCACAAGCAACCCCCCCAGAGCTTTTTTTTTCCCAGGAGCACCTTCTTTGCCTATGGGTCCCCTAGGCTTTTCCCAAGGAGAGTATATAAGGAGCGTCGCGGAGAGGTTGCTTTTAGAGCCTTCCCCGGAGGCTTGCCACATCCAAGCGGTGACCTCCTAGACGGCTTTATCGCCGCGAGATACGGCGATACGCCAGCGCTCGGAGCAACGGCCGAGCTACACCCCCAAAATAAGTTCCTACGGCAACCTGAACACCCATGTGCTTGAGCCAATGGGGGCATTTTTGCTTTGAAGTCTAAATGCACATATATGATATGGATCTTTGGTGTCAGGAAACACAGTCAGCTGGCCGCAAACGGGCCAGGCAGGCTCGGCTGAGCTTGCCACTTTGGCCCAGCTGAAGGGCGCTCTCTGAGCTCGCCCTGAGCGCCCCAAGGGCTCCCTCACCCTGAGCGCCCTGAGCGCTCGAGTGCGCCCTGTGCGCCTTCGCTCGCGAACTGCGAACGTGCATTTGAGTGCGCCGACCAGCGCCGACCAGCTCGCTGGTCCAAGAGAGGTCCAAGAGCTGGGCCCTCAGAGGCTCAGAGGGCAGCGGGCAACGGTCCACGGCCTGCACGGCGCAGGCACGGCACAGGCACGGCCTGCACCTGCAGCCGTGGCCGTTGCGTGTTCCGCTGCCCAGGTGCGCCGGTCTCCGAGCACGGCCAGATGGCGAGAGGTACGCGAAAACCTGTATGGATATCACCCCAGTGCTAGATATCGTCCGCCTTACCAAGCTCTATGATAGCCTTCCAGCTACAAGCATCCCCACATTGACCGAATGCCCGAGGGCTGTCAAGCCTTGTCCATACTGAGGTTTTCTCGGAAGCTGAGGAGGTAGCTTGGCTTTGCATCATTTGCCCCCGACTCAGGGAGGGAGGTCAGACGCGCAATCTGAGCCCAGCCGGTTATTGGTTTCTTGAGGAGTTGGGTTGGCGAGTTTCAATGCGGCTCATTTTTGGTGCGACTGGCTTCATCCCTTTGAAGTCGGGGGGTGGGGGGTTGGGTGTGGGTGTGGATGTATGTTGGTTTTGGCCCTGGGGGTGGGGGGTTGGGTGTGGTTTTGGCCCTTGGAACGCGGCTTAGGTGTTGCGTGCAGATGCTTTTGTCGAACCAATTCTCGCTGGGAGCGTGAAGCCAGCGTTTCTTGACTTGAAGGATTGCATTAAGGTTTTTGCATTAAGATTTCAATTGTCCAGGCTTTTGGCAGGGTGCTTTGCAATGTCAGCTCTTCCCGCAGCAAGACCAGCATGCCGCAAGGGCCGGGCGATTTGATTGTTCTTGGCAGCTTCACTGCCAATATGAGCACCTTGGTGTCCCAACGCGAAGAACAGTCCGGTCACATATTAAGATTTACATGCCTTGGCAACCCACGTGACCTGAATCTCTTGCAACAAGAAGCTCGTCGTTCCCCCGTGAAGCTTTGGCAAGCTTTGGCCCAGTGAACCCCAGGGCGTTAGCAGGGCTCCTTAAAAGGAACTCATTTTGCAACCTTTTGAACCATGTGGCTTTTTCAACACCAAAATAAAGGGAAACCACCATTTACAAGTTGGAATGTTCAGGTGTATAATGCAAGGATCCCTGTTTAGCCTTTTAGTCCGCCCTACAGGCCCTACATGGAATTGGGGGCTGTGATTCTTCTTGTGCTAGATGAAAGGAACTCCTGCCGCCAAGCTCCAGTATTGTTTCGACTGTGGTGCCGTCGCCCTTTGTTTCTCATTTGCCAGAACCTGGTAATGCTGGCGGCGCCACGTCAAATGACGAGGCCCTGTCTTTGGGGCTTTGGGTCCTCATTCCGGGCCTTTAGCCTGGAAAGCGTAATCGAAGGTTTGGCACGCCTGGCAGCTGAGGTTTCAGAAGCTTCCACCCCCCCGCCACGGCTCACTCTTCTGGCTGTGGGTCAAAACCAATGGTATCATTTTGGGGTAGGTGCACCACCCATTTTAGAACCTATGTTAGTGGTTGGATTGGGATGTTCACTGGATTTTGGTACGGGGTTTTGACCCATGGCCTTCTTTTGGGGAGGGTAAGCGGCACCCGTGCAGGAAAAGATCGCTGCTGCTCTGAGAAATAGGCAGCCGGCATGCCGGTGGCAAGACCTGTGAAATGGACCCCCACGGGAGACATGAGCAACCCATCCACAACTTCTCTCAGTTGGCTCAGTCTCGGCGCAGACATATATATATATATACATATATATATATATATATGTCTTTGTATACAACGCGTGCACACGCCGATGTTTGGCGCGTTTTCGTGCACCCCAGGGAGGTATGGCCGGTTTCTGTCCACGGCTTAAGCCCAAGAACTTTGGGGTTCGCAGACAGACGGGGTTTCCGAAAAGAGAGTTGGGCTGACGCCGAGGAAAAAACGCCAGGGTTTGGCGACGACACGAACGCGCTTTCCGTAACATCAAGGTTTGCTAAAAAGAGCCCGATCTGCAGCATCTGCTCTGCTTTAGGTCACTGCCTGCAACCATAGGTGTCCTTTTTGGTGGCATGGCGATTCCTGGTTTACCTGGTAATTTCATCATCTACCAGGGCCAGCTATTTGCCCTAAAAGGACACTTCTGCCTGCAACACCTATGGGGTGGGGTCATCTTGGACAGAGTTGGGGGATGCCTGCCGGCCATTACAAGCGTGTGCGCAGTGGGAACGCGCACTGCGCGGGAAGCGGTTTGAGAGGAGGCCAGTCCCAATCGGAGAGGTGCAAGTGCTGCCAGTGCCCAACTCAAGCGAGCAGCAGTGCCAGCGGAGATGCGGGGTCGCAACGCAGCAGAGAGGTGTTGTTCAGTTGTTCTCTAGCTTTCTGGGAAGCGCTTTTGGAAGCCGGGCAACAATTCTAAGAGACCATTTGAAAAGATGCCAATCTTCCCGAGTTTCTCAAGCGTTGGCCCTCGTGGCATAACATTTTCAGACCCAAAGGACTTTTAACTGCCGTTGGTTTTCTCACAGGACTTTGTTTCCCCAGACACAACAAGCCCAAGACTCAACGGACTGGGCTCTTGAGACTGGCAGCACTCGGGGCTGGACCTTCCGTGGATCGCGAATGCCAAGGTTGAACAAGGGTGCTGGGGTTGAGCGCGGGGCTTGCGGGGAGTTGTTGAGGGACCTGATATTTGTGACAGCAGATGGGCTCGTCTTTTTTTCGAGGGACCCTTTTCGTGTTGTTTGAAATTGAAACCAAAAGGAGCACCCAGCATTTCGGGGGGCTCCCCTAAAAAAGACGCACCCGGCTGGTTTCTGTGAGACTCCGAGAAGAACAGACGTGAAAAGCGGGCCAAAGCACCACAAGGGAACGAATCATACAGGCTTCGCTGCTTCACAGCCCCTGTGCTTACCATTTTTTGGGATGTACATCAACCCTTCCGATAAAGCGATGTGATGAGGGTTTCTGGCAATGGTCCAATTCTCAACATCGCTTTCGGGATCAGTTTTTCACCATTTGGGCCTGTCTTTGTTGAGGCTCGGTACCCAATTTTGGGGTTGCTGTCAAGGGGAAACACACCAGTTGTTGGGGCCCCCTACTTTAAGACGCACCCACTTAGCTCGTGTACTCTCCCACCAATTAACATGGAACTTGACAGGGGGTTCCCTTTAAAAGGAAAATGGTCTTGCAGGACCCCCTGAACGTCAGGTTCCGTGTTAGTTGGTGGGAGGGTAATCTTGATGCCGCTTTGACGGCCCCATGTTTCTGAAACCTTCGGGAGCGCTGAGGCTCGCTTTGCGGCGAGGGCGCCCTGGGCCCAAGGAACCTCGCGTGCAAGACCAGCGGTTGGTTTTTGGGGTCGGGCCCAAGGGGTTGGGGGTTGGGGCCGAGATCTCGGCAGCAACAAGCCTGCAGGGTTTTCGAACAGACGTGCTTTTTCCGGAAGTGGTCGGACGTTTGTGTTCCCGGTTTCGGTGTGTGTGTGTGTGTGTGTGTGTGTGTGTGTGTGTGTGTGTGTGTGTGTGTGTGTGTGTGTGTGTGTGTGTGTGTGTGTGTTTTGGTGACTTGCAGAAGCCGCTTGCAGCTGGCAACCAAAGTTGTAGACGCCCATGGG